TGGTTTGGTGGGTGGTGGGCTAAGGCGAGAGCCAATTGTTGAGAGCGGGCCGCCCTCCATCCGCGAAGCTCTTGCATTGCTTGTCCCGGAAAGGGCTCGGGCCCAGGGTTTTAGATTTAGGATTGCACTCTGTCCCTGGTGCCATGTTGAGGGGGGGCCGGCGGAAATATTTGCGACAAATGGAACGGTACAATTCCATGCTGTTCCCAAGCCTCTCTTGCTCTATTTCCCGTTTTGAATCGAGCAGTGGGGTGCCAACTCCCTTCTCCTCCTCCGCGCCCCCCCCCTCTCCTCTCGGCTCTCTCCTCTCGCATCCCTCTTGGGGGCTGCGAAGTGTGAAACTGTCGCCACTTGCGAGGGCTGCCGGGTGGGCCCGCAGTGGGGCCCCACGTAGATCCAAACCGAACCTCGCCATCCCTGGGGGGGTGGCTGCGAAGTGTGAAACTTTCGCCATTTTCGAGGGCTGCTGGGGGAGCCCGCACAGTACGCAGATCTCAAGGAGACATCGGCATCCCTGGGAAGATGTGAATGGTGAAACTGTTGCCACTTTCGAGGGCTGCTGGGGGGGCAGCACAGTGGGGCCCCACGGAGATCCGAACGGGACCTCGCCATCCTGAGAGGGGGCATGCGAAGTGTTCAACTTTCGCCACTTTCGAGGGCTGCTGGGGGAGCCAGCACAATGGGGTGCCACGCAGACCCACACGGGACCTCGCCATCCCTTGGGGGCTGCGAAGCGTGAAACTTTCGTCACTTTCGAGGGCTGCTGGGGGGGCAGCACAGTGGGTCCCCACGCAGATCCAAACGGAACCTCGCCATCCCTGGGTGGGCTGCGAATTGTCAAACTGTCAACAATTTCGTGGGCTGCTGGGGGGGGCGGCAACGCAGTGGGGTCCCACGCATATCTCTAAATTACCTCGCCAATCCCGGGGGGGTGTGAAGTGTGAAACTGTCGCCACTTCCTTCTGAAGACTGCTGGGGGGGGCAGCACAGTGGGGCCCCACGCAGAACCACACAGTACCTCGCCACCCCTGGGGGGGTGCGAAAAGTGAAACTGTTTCCAATTTCGAGAGCTGCCGGGGGGGCAACACAATGGGGTGCCACGCAGATCGAAACGGGACCTCGCCATCCCTGGGAAGCTGCAAAGTGTGAAACTGTGTGAACTTTCGAGGGCTGCTGGGGGGGGCAGCGCAATGGGGTGCCACGCAGATCCAAACGGGACCTCACCATTTCTGGGTGGGATGCGAAGTGCGAAGCTGTCCCCACTTTCGAGGGCCGCTGGGAGGGGGTGGCAGCGCAGTGGGGTGCCACGCAGATCCCAAACAGACCTCGCTACCCCTTTGGGGGGCTGCGACGTGCGAAACTTTCGCCACGTTCGAGGGCTGCTGGGGGGGCAGCACAGTGGGGCCCCACGAAGATCCGAAAGGGACCTCGCCATCCTGAGGTGGGCCTGCGACGTGTGAAACTGTCGCCACTTTCGAGGGCTGCTGGGGGTCCCTAGGGGCTGGGACTGCAAAGTGTGAAACTGTAGAGTAGCCACTTTTGAATGCTGCTGGGGGGGGGGCAGCACAGTGGGGTCCCACGCAGACCTCGAGAACCTCGGCATCCCTGGGGGGAAGCTGTGAAGTGTGAAACTGCCGCAGCTTTGAGGGCTGCTGGGGTGCGCAGCACAGTGGGGTGCCACGCAGATCCAGAGGAGGGGTGGGGGGGCGGAGAGGACGGCGACGAGGACGAGGAGGAGAGGGAGAAGGAGGAGGAGGTGGAGGAGGAGGAGGAGGGAGGAGGAGGAGGGAGGAAGAGGAGGGGGGGGAAGACGAGGAGTAGGACGAGAGGAAGGAGGCAAAGGAGACAATGGAGAAGGACGATTAGCAAGAGAAGTAGAAGGAAGAGGACGAGGACGAGGCTGAGGATACTAAAGAGGAGAGGGAGGAGGAGGAGGAGGAGGAGGATGAGGAGGAATAGGAGGAGGAGGAGGAAGAAGAAGACGAGGAGAAGGACGAGGAGGAGGAGGAGAGGAGGAGGAGGAGGAGGAGGAGGAGGAGGAGGAGGAGGAGGAGGAGAGGAGAGGAGGAGGAGGAGGAGGAGGAGGGGAGGAGGAGGAGGAGGAGAGGGGGAGGGGGGAGGAAAAGCAGCGATGTGATGAAGATGAGGCAGGGGAAGAGGAGGAAGAGGAGGAGAAAGAGGGGGAGGAAAAGGAGGGGGAGAGAAACAAAAACGCAACTCTCCATTGTCTGGTTGCGTCCCCGCCTATGAAACCTTATCTTGCCCATGCTCTGTGATCTCGCTGCTTCTGCCGAAAAAATGTGTCTTGTCCACCCCGCTTTCTCCCGCTTGCTTTTTGTCATGGAAAACAGCCCCATCATGTGCTATCACGCCTCAGCCAGCACAGCGAAAGGATTCGCACTGCCACTGCAAATTGCCCCTACACACGACTGCGCCAAGCAAGTCTGATGCCCGCGGATCCTCTCGAAGCGCGCCGCCGAGGATGTGTGCAACAAGGGGTGAGGAGCGAAGCGGAGGACGCCAAAAGGAGGAGGAGGAGGAGGAGGAGGAGGAGGAAGAGAGGACGAGGAGGAACACAACGCAAAAGATCGGCGCTGACCAGTTGGTCGCGCGAGGCCGCCGCGGGAAGGGCAGAACAAGAGGTGCGCAGTGTTGACACCAGACTGGCTTCAACACAAGCTGCGACCGTTTGGCTCGCAATTCAGATTTGGTCGTATCGGCCTGTCCTGGGTGGCAGGCAGTGGCCCCGGAGGAGGAGGGGGGGGGCGGGGGCGGGCGGCGAGGGCAGCGGCGAGGCGACGGAGATCGATACGGGCGGCACGTGCGCCCCCACGTGGCCCAACCGACCATTCATGCACCGAGGCATCGCGCAACGACACGCGCAGGGACCAGCGTAAGGACAGCGCACAGTACCGAGAGCAAAAAGGATGCCTTCCGATTGTCTCTCCTTCCCCATGCAATGCCTCCTGGCCTTGTGTACCTCTGTCATGAGAATTGGCCGCGCACACTTCGCACGAAAGAGGTATCTGCCGTGCACCGTCTCTTGCGGTGTTGCTCTCACACTATTATCGGCACACCTTATAGCATCCCTTGGTGCCGATGGGCTGGATACGTCGCAAGGAAAATGTTCAAACCTGCGTTCCGCGTGCCCCGCTCAAGAGAAAGGCGCCCCCCTATTCCGGACCCGCGATGAATAACGAAGTCCGCTGCCCTTCGTTGCCCCTCGTAAAAACCGGTGCGGAGCGTTTTCCGCAATTCGTGATATATCTCGTGGACGTGTTGCGCCCTCACTCGAGGACGGCGCGTCCTGCGCGCAGAAATGGTGAGGACGTCTCGAGCGAAAAGCTCGTTTGGAGAAGTGGAGAGGCCGTCCCTTTCGCCCCAGTCCTTTTCGCTTCAGGGCGGGGCAAGCGTGAAAACACGTGGGTCTCTTTCGCATCAGGGCGAGGCAGGCGTGAAATCACATGGGTCGCATTGGCCTCAGGGCAGAGCAGGAGTATAAACACGTGGGTCCCTTTCGCCTCAGTGCAGAGCAAGCGTAAAAACGCTCCCTTACGCTTGCTCCGCTGTGCGACGACAGGGGCCCACGTGTTTTCACGCTTGCTTCGCTCTGGGGCGAAAGGGGCCCACGTGTGATCATGCTTGCTGCGCTCGGGGGCAGAAAAAAGCCCACGCGTGTTCACGTGTGTTCCTATGTGGAGCGAAAAGGACCCACGTGTCTTCACGCTCGCTGCGCCCTGGAACGAAAGAGGCCCACGCGACTGCACGCTTACTCCGCTCTGGCTCGGCGAGGGCGCACGTGCTGCGACGCGCCCTGGCAACCCCAACGGCGGCCCCCCCCTCCCAGATGTGCAGGAGGGCACCAAAGCACCGCAAACGCGACGAAGCGGCACCAGATGCACGCTCACGTGGCACGCTCCGTCGTGGGGCCCTGGGGGGGGCCTCCTGGGGCGTCCTGGAGGGGGCCAACGCGCTTTCACGCTCATCGCATTCTGGGGCGAGAGGGTCCCGCATGTTCTCACGCTCGCGTGCTTCGCTCCTGGGGCGAGAGGAACCCGTGCGATCTCACACGTGCCGCGCTCTACAGGGCGAGAAGCACCCGCGTGCTTTCACAAATGCTCCGCTCTGGGGCGAAAAAGACCCACGTGCTTCTCACTCTTGCTCCGCTCCTCGCCATCGCTCGGACGTCCATTCCCTGTGTTTTTTCGGTTTCGTGCGTGGTTCTTCCGCCAATGATCAAGGATGCTCCTCGATGGTCCTCGCCGAAGGAAAAATGCACACGTCCGAGCGATGCCAGGCCACGTGTTTCTCACTCCCTGCTCCGCCCTGGGGCGCGCCTGCTCCGCCCTGGGGCGCAAAAAGGGCCCACGCTGCGCCCGCCCAGGACGCGTGCTCTTTACGTGTGCGGGCGGCCACCCACGGAGGGTAGCTCTAACATGTGATCGCCCGGGCGCCCCGAGCGTGGGGGCCGACAGGACTCAGACAAAATTGAAGGGGCCCCAGGACACACAAAATAGATACACACGAATACAAAGATTCCCCATCGTTTCCTTATAGTTTCTGGGTCTCTGTATTCCCCACCACTTCCCATATGTTCCCACATTGTTTGGGGAGTCGACGATTAATTGTGTCTGTGTGTTTCTTTCCCTCCTGAGAAATCAATACAGCGACACCAAATGTGTAATAGCATGGCACAATTTCTTCGGCGGGTGACTTTTTCTCAGAATTTCCAACTGGGGTATCGGACATGGTGGTCCCGAGCTGGAGCTGCGTGGTTTTCACGCGTCCAGGCCACCGAGGTGGATATCTGATGTGGTGGTCCCGAGCTGGACGTACGTGTTGTCATGTGTCCAGGCCACCCGGGGCGGTATCTCACATGGCTGCCTCGAGCTGGAGCCACGTGCTTCCACGTGCCCGGGCCGCCCAGGGGGGTGTCTGACACGGTTGTCCCGAGCTGGCCACGTCTTCACGCGCCCATGCTACACGGGGAGATATCCAACGTGTGGTCGTCTGGCTCGGCTGCGCGGAGGCGGGGGCCGGCCTCGCTCCGCGCACGGACGGGTAGGGGGGCACGACGCGCGCCCCCCCCCCCCCCCCCAAAAAAAAAAATCCCAAAGAAAGAAATCCACCTCCCCTCCTCCTCCTCCTCCTCTCCTCCTCCTCCTCCTCCTCCTCCTCCTCTTCCTCCTTTTCCTCCTCTTCCCTCTCCTCCTCCACTTCCTCCTCATCCTCCTCTTCCCTCCCCTCCTTTTCCTCTCCTCCTCCCCTCCTCCTCCCCTCCTCCTCTCCTCCTCCTCCTCCCTCCTCCCTCCTCCTCCTCCTCATCCACCTCCTCCTCCTCCCCCTCCTCCTCCTCGCCCCCGCCTTAAGCCGCGTGCGCAGCGTGCACGGCACGGGGTCCACGTCCCCCCGCAGCGCGCGCGCCAGGGCGGGCCGCCAGTCCGCCGCCGCGACGGTGGCGAGGAAGCCCAGGGATCCCATGCTCGGGGGCGCCCAGGAAGGGGAGGAGGGAGGAGGAGCGAGGAGGGAGGGAGGAGGGGGGAGGAGGGAGGAAGGAGGAGGGAGAAAGAGGACGAGGAGGAGGAGGAGGAGGAGGAGGAGGGGGAGGAGGAAGGGGCGGAAGGAGGAGGGAGGATGATGAGGAGGAGGAGGAGGAGGAGGAGGAGGAAGAGGCGGAAGGAGGAGGAGGCGGAAGAAGGAGGGAGGAGGAGAAGGAGGAGGAGGGAGGAGGGAGGAGGGAGGAGGAGGAGGAGGAGGAGGAGGAGGAGGAGGAGAAGGAGGTGGGCGCACAAGCGGGGGATTCTGGAGGAAGGAGATGGCATAAACATAAGTCGTTGGCGCTCCGCGCGGGTGCCTTGGATCTGCGCTGGACCCCCCTCCCCGGCGCGCGGAGCGGAGCGCGCCAGGGGCGGCACCGGAGGCGCCGCCAGAGGGCCCCAGCGCAGAGTCAAGAAATCCGCGCGGAAATCCGAAAGTTTATGCTTATGTGATTTGTCCTATTCGAGATTCGCGAATCATGGCCAGAGGCATGCGCGCGAACGAGCGGGCGACCAAGGGACGGACGCACTGAGAGAAGAAGAGTGGGCCGTACAATCCGGGGAGCTATCATGGCCCCCGCCAGATCCATCCACCCCCAGTTATCACCCCCCTTTTGGCCGCCCCCGACATGCCGATCACGAGGCAGCGTCGACGGGCCCACACGGGCCCCCTCAGCACAGACCCCCACCTGCTCTCGCTGCGAAAGAGTCACGACGGAAAAGCTTTGGATATTTTCGGCCGCTCGGGGCCCTCAGAGCGCCCAAGAACCGTCACAAAACTACTCGGGACGAAAAACTGGTGCCGAGGAACCGGTCTGGGGGTCTAGACCTCTAGGGGGCCCGCAGTGTGAAAAAAACACGACGTCGGAGATCTTGGGACTGGCGCGCTCTGGCGCCCACTGGCGCCTGCCGGCGCCTACTCCAACTCCAGCCGCCGAAATTATAGCGCCAAGCTGGCGCGAGCAGACCAACCAGGCGCGACAAACCAGTCTTTCCATACTATGCCATGCGTTGCATCGCAGTGCCTTGATGTGCATTGCACTGCAGAGCACTGCGCCGTGTTACGAGGCATGAGCGTTGCATCGCATTGTGGTGAGTTGCATTGCGTTGCAGCTTGGCGTTGCGTTGCTGTTCGCTGGCTGGTACTGTTTTGAAATGCGATGCATTGCCTTGATTTGCATCACGCTGAATTCTCGCTGCGCTGCTTTGCATTGCATTTGACCAGGTGTCAGAAGTGCAGACGCATCACCTCTGCACTGCAGCTGCGCTGCATTGCAGCTGCGCTGCGCCTAGTAGCGAGAAGGCAGTCGAGTTACAGAGGGGCGGCACCCTGGTTGAACTGGTGGCGGTCCAGGCTCTCTCAGGGGCTTGTTTCGTAATGATGCCAGTGCTGAGTAGAGCGGGGCGAGCTGAGACAGCGGCATCTCAGAAGCAGGCCCCGAACCGCTCCAAGGGGGTCCAAAAGCACCAGCTTCCCGAGCCGCGTCCGGCCGCGTCGACGAGGGGCACCCCCAAAGACCACCGTTGTCTCAACTCGCCCCCGTCTGAGCCGAGGGGTCGAGGTGGGACCGGCGGCAGGGGGGCAGCAGGTGGTTCACGCGCTGCACAAACCTTCGAGTGGGGGGTCGATTCCAGAATCGGCTTACTCCAGAATCAGTTTTCTCGTCGACTCGGCGGAAAGTACATAAAATCCCCAGCAGCTATGCGAGCTGTCTACGTATTCTTCGTAGATTCGATGGCGAAAAGAAATTTGGGGGGGAACCAAATCTATAGTCGATCCCCCACTCGGATCCTTAGCAGCCGCGACGCGTGCAGAAACGTGCCGTCGCCGCCCAGCGCCACCACCAGATCCACCGCCTGGCTGCCCACCTCCTCGGTGCACAGCGTGGAGAGCCCGGGCACCTCGGGGTAGTCGCGGAGATCGCCGACCTCTGGGGAAACCTAACTGTGGAAACGAACTCTATGCACCGATGGTTTTCCCAGCCCTGCACTGATCTTTGCACAGGAAAGCGGGTCCTGGTGTATACGGGGTTGTGGCTATGTAACTGTTTCATTGTTTCCTTAGGAAGCGGAACGAACAAGTACGCACCACACCACCCCGACGTCGTCCCCGACCCTAACAAAAATCCTGGGATTGATAAGCAGCCCGCCACTGGTAATGTATATGCTCCAATTTCCGACCAGAAATACCAACACAAATCTTCGACGACATGATTCTTCAATCTGGGCGTTTTGCCCCAAACAGATTGCTGAACGGGGTGCTGTTGTGATAGAAGCTAACTCCGGCCGAAGGAATGCAAAGCAGAGACGTCCTCAAACAAATTTGGTGGTCCGGGCCATTTCCCCTGAGACATCCTCGCAACTCTCGTTTCTGAGTTGTCCGGGATTGGACGTTTCGCCCGAGACATCCTCCAAACTCTGAGTTCCCAAATACCGCGAAAGAGGTGGTCTGGCCCGTTACATCCTCGAAACTCTGAGCTCCCGAATGCCGCGCGAGAGGTGGTCCAGCCCGTTTCGCCTGAGACATCATCCAAACTCTCAGCTCCCAGATGCCGCGCGAGGGGTGGTCGGGCCCGTATCGCCTGAGACGTCCTCGAAACTCTTAGCTCTGAGATGCCGCGCAAGAGGTGGTCTGGCGCGTTTCGCCTGAGACATCCTCACAAATTTGAGTTCTGAGATGCCGCGCAAGAGGTGGTCCAGCCCATTTCGCCTGAGACAGACATCCTCGAAACTCTGGGCTCCGAGATGCCGCGCAAGAGAAGGTCCGGCCCGTTTCGCCTGAGACATCCTCAAAACTCTGAGCCCTGATATGCCGTGCGCAAGGTGGTCTGGCCTGCTTTACCTGCGACATCCTCGCAACTCTACGCTCTCTGATGCCGCGCGCGAGGTGGTCCGGCGCGTTTCGCCTGAGACATCCTCGAACCTCTGAGCTCTGAGCTGCCGCGCAAGAGGTGGTCCAGCCCGTTTCGCCTGGGACATCATCGCAACTCTGACCTCGGAGATGCCGCGCAAGAGGTGGTCCGGCCCATTTCGCCTGAGACATCCTCGAACCTCTGAGCTCTGAGCTGCCGCGCAAGAGGTGGTCCAGCCCATTTCGCCTGGGACATCATCGCAACTCTGACATCGGAGATGCCGCGCGCGACGTGGTCCAGCCCGTTTCGCCTGAGACATCCTCGCAACTCTGAGCTCTGAGACGCCCTGTGCGAGGTGGTCCAGCCCGTCTCGGCTGAGACATCCTCTCAACTCTGAGCTCTGAGATGCCGTGCGCAAGGTGGCCCGGCCCGTTTCGCACAAGACATTCTCGCAACTCTGAGCTCCCAGATGCCGCGCAAGAGGTGGTCCAGCCTGGGGGCCCAGAAGACCACATGTTACATATCCACCCTGGGACCCTGCGAGCCCCTGGAGGCCCCAGAGAGCTTCAGGAGGCCGCAGGACGCCCAGGACAGGCCCCAGGGGTCCCCGGGAGATTCCCAGGAGGCTCCCAGGAGGCCCCAGGAGGCCCCCTATCAGAACGTGTCAAGTTAATACACAGCAGGTGTCGATTCGTTGATTTTTCCTGGTCTTGTGGCCCCCCCCCATTTGGGGGGGCCCAGACGGCCACATGTTAGATATCCCCCCCTGGGAGCCCCAAGAGGCCTCAGGAAGCCCCAGGTGGGGTCCAGGAGGCCACAGGAGACCCAGGAGGAAGCCCCAGGAGGTCCCCAGGAGGCCCCAGGAGGTCCAAGTTTTCGTGTAAACATCTCATGCGCAAACATCATGTTATCATGTACTAACATGCCATACCAGCCCGCACAGGACGGGCACGCAATCGACCTTGGAAACCGCAGTGGGTTAAAAAAACCCTGTTTGGGGATACTGCACTCCGGCTATAATTTTCTCGATTTCGGCCTCCATGGTCCGTTCTCAGGTCCCGAGACCATCAGAAATGGATCTAGGGGGCGAAAAGCTGGTCCGCGGGAAGGGATCGGGACCTGGAGGGCCACGGATTGAAAAACACACGCATGTCGGAAGACGTCTGGAGATACCGATGCTGCTACTCCCCAGACATCTCCCAAAGGGATTCCCGACCAGAATTTCGAGGCGAATCCAGCCGTGGCGACGAGGGCCTCCCAGGAGGCCTAAAAGGAAGGAAACGAAGGAAGTGGAGCGGTATCGGCGTCGGTGCCTTTTCCCCTCCGAGGCCTCGACTATGACCTGGATGCCCTTCGAGGCCAGCCAGCGCGCGACGTCATTGGCCACAGAGCTAACCTCGCGGCTGCCGCGTCTCTTCACGAGCAGCACTCGGCGGACGGGTTCGTGCCAGCGCACCTTGGTGCGCCGTCGCGCAGGAACCGACACCTTGTCCTCGTAGTCAAAGGTGACTCCGACGCGCTGCTCCGCCGCTGCCGCGATCGGCAGCAGGTGTGACGACACAACACCCAGTCGAGCGCGTGCCATCGGTCGGCAGTGGGCCGCGCAATCTGAACCCGCTGTGGCGGCGCCATGGGCCTGGCGTCTCGAAGCCTGGGCCAGACGACTTCGGAGAGGGCCACGCACACACACACACACACGTACACACACACACACACACACACACACGCACACACACACACACACACACACACACACACACACGCACGCACGCACGCACGCACGCACCCACCCACACACACACACACACACACACACACACACACACACACACGCACGCACGCACGCACGCACGCACGCACGCACGCAGGCAGGCACGTTCTGGGCAAGAGGTGCGCATGCACGCGCTCAGACTGCGCGCGGGCGCACGGAACGCCTTCGCGCTGCGTGCAGGTGGGCGGGCGCGCGCACGGCAAAAATTCGGTGGCCAGGCACGCGGCGACCGCGGCAGACAGCCGGCCGCGGGCGCGCGGGAGACCCAAAGAGAGAGAGAGAGAGAGATAGAGAGAGAGAGATAGAGAGAGATAGAGAGAGAGAGAGAGATAGAAGAGAGAGAGAGAGATAGAGAGAGAGGGAGAGAGGTCGAGTGTGGCTACACAGAAGCAGCGGCTGGCGGGAACAGGGCACACGCACACCACGACCGAAGCAGGCTCAGAGCTAGGTGCAAACCAACGCTGCCTCGCATCCTGCCCCTCCGCGTCCGAACGCCGCCCAATCTCCATCTCACTAGCCCTCCGCATCCTCCAACGCAAAACGGATGCTCCAACATTTCGCGGGCAGCGGTGAGGCTCGACCTGGTGGGTAGTCCGGTACCTCTTGTCAGTGAACTGCAGTAGCAGGCACGTCTTCCCGACGGCCTCGTCGCCTGACGAGGCGGGGACGCAAGGAAACGAGACGGCGTGGAAGCTGAACTGAACGGTTGAGGGGTGGGAAAGCATGCAGCCCAGATGGCCTTTGGACGAAACGAACAATGTAATACATATATATATATATATATATACATTTACATATAAATGTATATATAGACATATAGATATATCACCTTATCTAACTCTATCTATCTCTATCTCTCTCTATCTCTCTCCCTCTCTGCTCGAGATGAGACGACTGCTTTCTCGAGTGTGGAGCGGGGGAAGAAACAGCAGCAATACTTGAAAGCTGGGGCGCGCGAAAACGCCCGCGCCGTGTAGGAAGCCACCCCGCACCAGTCAATCGGATAGCTGGCCAAGGCTTACGCAGGTGCAGCCGCTGCGGGAAGGTCGCGCGGCCCGCGAGGAGGGCACGACATCACAGCCGGGACATCAAGTGCGACAAGTTCGTGTCGTGACGGCCCCACAGTTGGTTCTGACACCGCTTGGATCGTTCAATCGTGAACGATCGGCGGTTTGGCCGACGCTGGGCCACTGGCATCACTGGCGGCGCTCAACCATGAACGCCAACGGCGGGGTCATTGCCGCGTCGGCACGTCACGAAACTACCGTAAGAAAGCGTCCTACTCAGAGGTGCACCGCAGAACTTCTTGGGCCCCGATGGCCCCGGGGACCCACCAGAGTCCTGCCGGGAGCCCTGCGAGGCTGACCACCGATGGAAGAGGAACGATAAAAGGGGGAACCGGCTCAGGGGGGGAAACGTCTAGTTTAAGTCGGGCCTGTCCCCCTACAGGGGGGTTTTCGACGAAACTCATCCAAAAATAATCAAACAATAATACAAAAATAGTCTGGGGACCATTTTTGGAATATTGTTTTACCTTTTTGGGGTATTTTTGGGGTATTGCTTGTTTTTCGTTGAAAATCCCCCTGTAGGGGGACGCGCCCGACGTAAGTCTAGTTGGAATCGGCGATGCGTCGCCGACGGATGGGCGAGCCGAACGCTTTCCGGCGGGGTGGGCCCTCGGGCCTGCCTCAGCTGTGAGTGGCCGTCTCAGGGCCGAGGCCCCCCCCCTTGAGCCTACGCCGCTCCCACACCCCCCCTTCCCTGAAGAGGGGCCCTGGGTTGGGGGAAGGCATCGGCTCCCAAGCGCTCATTCATCGCGAAGCGAGGCCAGGTGAGCGTTTTTGTTATTCGGCGTTTCGACATTGGGCGGAAGGGGGGGAGGGGGGGGGGTCTGGCTCTGGACCTCTGCTTAGTGCGACTGTTTGCAGCACTGGGTCCTCTGAGGGGAGACTCTACCTGCTCGAGACAGGCGCCCAACACGCCAAGATCCACTCCGGGGGGGAGGGGGGCGGTGGGGGGCTTGGGGGCCCGCGCCGATGGGCAAAACAATGAATGAAAAAACGATCACCAGGGCCTTCTGTCGCGCGTGTGGTTTCGCCATGGAGTGCCTATCGCCGATGTATCGGCGATGCATCGCCGATTCCAGATCGATGTCTCCTCCCCTGCGCCAGTCCCCAGTCCCCCCCCCCTATCGTTCCCCAGAGAGGCCCCTGAAGAGGAGCGCCGCCCCTGAGATCCGACGTTCAGAACAAGTGTGAGGCATCGCAGAAAATCACGACCAGAGCCCCAGACCCTGCCTTGCCGCGGCATTTGTCCCAGAAAGGGCGCGGGCCCAGGTTTCACCTTTGGGGGCTTCCCCCCCGGAATCGACTTGCGCAAGGCCGGCTAAATGTTCTGCGAGAAAGAACGAGGTCGCATAGGGCCGGCGAATTCAGCTTTTGAGGATGTCCTGAGCGAAACGCTGGTTCTTGAAAATCCGATCGATAAGACACATGGTCAAGTAGATATGGTCGTCGTTCGCGAATCTCTCAAGCGAAACGCTTGATTTGCAGAATTGTCCGAGGATGTCTCGAGCGAAACGCTCGTTTTGTGTTATAGGTTGTTCCTCTCCCGGGGACCAGGATTCAGAGGACGTCTCAGGTAAAATGTTTGTTTTCATGTGTCCAGGTCTTGAGGATATCTCGAGCGAAACGCTCGTTTTCAAGTGCCCAGGTCGCCCAGGCGGATGTCTAACATGAAGATGTGTTGAGGATGTCTCGAGCGAGACGCTTGCTGTCACTTGACCAGGTCGCCCAGACGGATGTCCAACATGAAGATGGATTGAGGATGCCTCGAGCGACCCGCGTGTTTTCACGTGTCCAGGTCGCCCAGGCGGATGTCCAGCATGAGGATGTGTTGAAGATGTCTCGAGCGAGACGCTTGCTTTCACATTTCCAGGTCGCCCAGGCGGATATCGAACATGAGAATGTGTTGACGATGTGTCGAGGGACCCGCGTGTTTTCACGTGTCCAGGTTGCCTAGGCAGATGCCTAGCATGAGGATGTGTTAAGGAGGTCTCGAGTGAGACGCTTGGTTTCCCGCGTCCAGGTCGCCCAGGCGGATGTCTAGCATGAGGATGTGTTGAGGATGTCTCGAGCGAGACGCTTATTTTCACGTGCCCAGGTCGCCCAGGCGAATGTCTATCCAACCCCGCCCGTCCGTGGGGTGTCCCCTGGCGCGCTGGCGCGTCCCCTGGCGCGTCCCTTGCGACGTTCTGGCGTGACGTGCCCTGGCACGTCCCCTAGTACGCCACTCGGCGTGGCACGTTCCCTGGCTCGTCCTCTGTCGCTTTTCCTGGCTCGTCATCAAGCGTTTCCCCTGCCCGCTCCATGGCGCCCAACGCCCCTTGGCATGACGTCCTATGGCCGCCCAGTGACAAGCGCCTTGGCACGTCCCGTGGCAGGTCCCTGGCACGTCCAAGGCACGTCCCCTGATACATCCCCTGACACGTCCCCTGGCGCATCCCCTACTACGCCCATATCACATCCTGTGGGGCGCGTCCGTGAGCCTGTGCCCCGTGTCGTGTCGTTTCTTTTTCCCTACCTAGGCTCTGCCTAGAAGGGTTCTTACCCTGTTAGCTTAAAGGGCCCGGGCAGTGGATACCGCCCCGGACAGTTCCCCTGGCATCCGCCCCGCGGTTCCCCCAGTTGCGTCCCCTTAGCTTAGCGTTGCGTATCTCATCTTAGCTCAGCTTATTTCATCTTAGCTTAGCTTAGCTTAGCCTAGCCTAGCTTAACTTAGCTTAGCGTAGCTTAGCTTAGCCTAGCCTAGCTTAGCTTAGCTCAGTTTAGCTTCGCGCAGCGCAGCATTAGCATAGCATAGCATAGCATAGTATATCATAGCAGAGCATAGCATATCATAACATAGCATAGCATAGCATCGCGCAGCATATCCTAGCGACACATATCATAGCATAGCATTGCATATCATAGCATAGCGCAGCATATCATATCGTATCATAGCGTAACATAGCACAGCGCAGCACAGTATAGCATAGCATAGTACATCACAACATAGCATGTCATAGCATTAGCGCGGCATAGCATAGCATAGCATAGCATAGTATAGCATAGCATAGCGCAGTATATCATAGCATAGCATAGCATATCATAGCATACCATATCATAGCATAGCGTAGCGCAGCATAGCATAGCGCAGCATAGCATAGCATAGCACATCATAGCATAGCATAGCCTAGCCTAGCATAGCCCATCATAGCATTGCGCAGCATAGCATAGCATAACATAGCACAGCAGAGCATAGCAGAGCATAGCATAGCGCAGCACAGCATCCACTAATGTTGCTTTCCTGGAGGCTCCAACTCCTAGGTAGGGTCGCGCTGGGATAATCGGAGCTGAGCCGAAGTGTGAGGTCGAGTTGGTTGAACGTCCTCCACGTTTCCACTTCAACTAGCTTTGGGGCGGCTACTATGTGCTCAGGCAGCTCGAGCTTAAGATCCAAATCAGTACGGTCAGGACTCGGACGCTAAGAATGACTCGATCCACAACACTATAGGGCACAATCGCGGCATGGCACATTGCAATTCAGCACGACACAGCACAGCACAGCCCTTGGTACGGTACTTAAAACCGAAACGGTCAGCATTTCAGCTGCCCGTCGGTCAACCAGGTGTCTTGAACATGTGGTTATGCCTAACATTTATGTATCTGTATATATATATGTACTAGAACCATCGCGCGCGCTTCGCGCGCGCTCAGGTTCTAGCAGGCCTCAGGCCTTGACGAGTTCACTGCTCCACTGAAGTAGTGGACCACAGTCGGGTGCCCTGAAGGCATTCTGGGAACATGGGTTTTGGGGGTGTCTTGGGGAGCCTGTTGGGGCATGCCGTCGTCGTCG